TGTCAGGCTTAAATCAGTGTGATTCTTTCAAAGTACTCTGAGAGAATGGTCTGTAACTAGAATGGGGCAGGCACACTCCACTGCTGCACTCTGCTTGTGGTCAGGTAAGTACAGCTCCTGAACAGGAACTGTATATGAAATTAATACTGTATTATACATAATAACATAATGCATTAGAGGAAGTGAGATTAAGATGTAGAATGGCAACCAATATGTATAAATTGATCACATAGTTTCAGCACAAGTTACCAGATCCAAAGCTTGCTGTCATCCTGGAAAGACCTACAAAGACTGCATTCTATTTGACTCAGACACGTATCATATTTTTGCACGTTTAACAAAGCCTTCAGGAAAAACTTTTAAGTTTTTTTTTTAAGCAGTAAGACTCTTGTTAACAGCTAGGAGCACCTCACTGAACTGAAAAACCTGCTGGAAGTTGTCCCTGAGAGCAATCACCTTAGATTCTGTATAAAAAAGACAGTGTCAGCAGTGGGATGAACAGTAACACTGCACTGTACTACTGGTGCAACTGCTCCTGTGTCAGTGGCACAGCACTTACTCTTGCCAGTGTCTCCACTTTTGCAGACAAATGGCCAGGTAAAAGGTGATTTTAACAAAGTGACAGTAACTGTTTATTTTAGGAAATTTGTTGAATTCAGCCATTCACAGGTATTTACTCTGGAGTGTCACTCCTATCTCCAAGTATTCTTTTTCTAAAGTTGCCTTGTCAGAATCAAAGAAATAGCTAATAACAAATAATCTTCAGGGAACAGAATTACAATTGGTATATTAAAGCAAAGCAATTAAGAACAAAGGAGAAGGAACAGAGAGAAAAGGAAATGTCCCTTGGTATGTGTTTACAGCTTTTTTGATGAAAACTACCTTATAAATGGAAATACAAGTGTTCCTTAGATAAGGTCAGTGCTTAGCACATAGTTAAGTCTCCCAGAGACATTTCTTGGCACAGAAGCTTTGATTATATAAATTTCATGCAGGAAATGCAAAGTGCTGTAATGTGAGACTTTGATCAATGGTACTATTTTGATTTACAATTGTGTTTTTTTTAAACTGTGATGTGCACAAAACACTAATTTAAAAGCTCATTTTAGTTGCAACCTACCTTTTCCTTTTAATAACAATAAAGTAATGAGATTGAATTTTTTCAGTCATCCTTGTGTCACGTATTAGATAATCTCCTTATAGTTTAAAACTAAAAATGCTAATGGATTGGGGAAATGGGTTTCTGCTTTCACTCAGCATATCTGTCTTTTTTATGCTTGTCTTTTGGATCATTTATCTAAATAATAACCTTTAGTACCCACTCCTTCCTTCCAATGAACTAAAAGATATTAATGATTAAAATCAGTGAACACATCTTCTCCCTGCTCGAATTTTGCCATCTGAGGTTTCCACTTGCAGCTGCTTCTTTTTTTGGAGGGGAGGGGGGGAGCTACAGACATCCCCTTTTGAGATATTCATATGGTTACTTCCTATTTTTTCTCAATCAAACAGCCTAAATTATTTTAAACTAACGTAGATCTCTCTTAATGAGTGTCACCAGTGAGCACGGACTGAAGGGACATTGATTTAGGGGACTAAAAGAGAACAATTACATGAAAACCTCAAAAAACAGTTTTTGGTCAGCAAATCTGTTGGGGCAGCCCCAGAAAAGAGGTAGTAATAAGCCCCTCAAGGGTAGGTGCTGTGGGTGGCAACTTTTCAGCAGACAAATCTGGAGATATAGGAGGATATATTTGTGTCTCAGAATTATGGAAGATAACTCATTTTGTTGTTACAAAAGCAGCACAGAGAAGATAAAAGAGCAGCCCAAGATCAGGTACAAAGACGGTGGAAACTGTGGGAGAAAGTCCCAGACATTTTTCTAGACTCTTTGTGTAGTTGGTTTTCATCATGTCTCGCTTAATCTGTTTAAAGACCAAGATTTCAGAAATTGCTTAGCACATAGACCATGAGGGGGGGGGGGGGGAACAAACCACCCCAAAACAAAAAACACCAAGATTCTAAGCAACAGGGATGTATCTTCAAAACACTAAGGAAATCGCTTTCATCAGCTACCAATATCTCCTGAAATAGGACTGAAGCACATCTGAGAGCCAACAACTTTGTACTGCCTTGAGACTCCGGAAAATCTTTTCCAGAGGAAAAGTATCCTTCCACAGACAATCTTTCCCAGCAGACCAAATTTCAGTTCTGCTGATCCCAGTGGTGACAGTATGACATGGAGGGAAGCAGTACCTCAAGTATGTGCTGTGCTAGAGACTCACAGCAGAGTCTTCAAGTAACTTGCACTGTTCTGAGGCTCTCACCGACTGCAATAAATTCATTCTGGCATGAAATTTTTAGTCTGCAGAGCCAAAAAAGGCTTTGGATTTAAAGCCATATTCTTACATGAATCAGGCTATTTTCTCGATTGATAAGAACAACCTTTATGAGCTCAGTCTTTCTGGTGCTGCTTTGATACTTCCTGTGGTGATGAACATTCTCAATAGCTGCAAATTACAAAAGAGCCAGAAGCTACCTATGTGCATTATGTAGTCACTAAATCACATTTTCATGGCATGTGGGAGGTGACCAGGAGACAATAGCAGACAGCAATTGTATTCCACTCATTCTGCTGAGGGGTGAGAAATAATAATCCCTGAATATAATTTAATAGGAAAGGAAATCTGTTAACAAAGATTATCTCAGCAGGAAGCAACAATTCTATACGAACTCTCATTTCCAGTGAATTGTGCCATTATGCTCAATTTCACTGTAAATGTGAAACCTGCCCTTGTGGCTTGTTCTCTGCTGTGGGATCACTGTCAAAACAAGGAACAATACAAAACGTTCCCTCGATTCTGAATTCCTATTTGGTAAGTGATGCCCGTATGATGCAGAGACCTAAATGTGAAATGTGTAAAATGGAAACTGTTTCCTCCCTTTTCTGATATTTAGACAACATAGGAAATTTGGAAGAGTCATTGGCAGGAGTTTCTAATTTACTCACATTTTAGATCCTAAGAAGAATGTATTTACCAGGTACTCGAAGCCAAATTGGTAAATATAAAATAATAAACCACGATATTCTGAGATAGTCTCTAAAATATTTGTTGTATTTGTTTTGATATGGCATCATTAGATTTGAACGCAGGATTGGTTTATTAGCAGGTAATAATAATTCTACTTGTGTATTTTTTTGCAAAAGTAGCATGCCCATTTTCACTCAAATTGGGGATTATGGAGCTCAGCAAAATACATGTTTTTCATATTTTGCTTTGTGACATGAAGCACTGAAGAAGGTAAATATTGGCACTTTCTCTCTTTGAAGATACATGAAGTTTCGCATTATTGGAAAGCTCTGGTGCCCTGAATGACAAATTACACAATGAGACAGAAGGAAGATGCAAATCTCGAAGTTTTAAAAGCACCTAATATTTTCTCAAATTATATTCAGCTGTATTTGTCTTGCATTCTGGCATGCTGCTGGATTACTGTTATCAATAAATCTATAAATAAGATGCAAAATGCATGGAGCCATCTGTGCATGAATAAAGAGTGGCCCGGCAATAAATTACAGCATAATATATAGTTTAAAATGTAGCAAAGGGAATGCCTTGACAAATCAATGCAACGTATCTTGTCACTGAGGGTGAAAGATTCATTATGCATCACCCTTGAGAAAGCTAGATTTCTGAGGCATGGGTCATCTAGGACATATGATGTAATCAGAGAATATGGAAAAATGCATAGAAAGACACAACTAATCTTCAGAGTAATAAAGCCATATTAAATTTTCAGGTAAAATATAAGTCCTATGCAGTACTTCATTGTCCAAGAGAGGTCAGGAGCGCAACAACAACGAACAAAATGAAGCCTGATTTCCTATGGATTTGGTCCCCACAGGAGATTCCAGACCAAACCTTTTTCTGAAACTGGGTCATATGTGCTGGCTTTCAGTTATGTTTTTCTGGTGTCTGCTGAGGTCTAAGCTCATCTGGTGGCACTTTTTTCAGCCGAGAAATTCTTTGCTCTGCCCAGTTTTTGATGAAACTGGGGGAAATTCGGTGTTTTAAGAAACTCCGGGCATCTGCCAGACATGACTGGAACCGGCACGCACCGAGCAGGCTGCATAGCCCCGGAGCACAGCAAAGAGACTAAAAATAAGACCAACCAGCAGGTTTTCCTGCTGACAGCAGCAAACCACCATGGAACATTTAATTCCTGCTGATCACATAGACGACAGACAAGTTGTCACTGGCTGTGCAGAGCAGGGAGGATACGTCCCTGTGGCAGGGACACTTGTCCTGCACCCTGCTGCGGATGGAAATGTCCCAAGAGCAGCCAGCACTTCCACAGAGACCGTGGACGTTGTCTCTGGCACGCTCAGGAAGAGACACCTGAGCTTGGCAGGGTTGGAAGGGTTTAAAATGTGGGTCTGGGCAGGTGGAGGAGAGGCCGGGATTCTGGTGTGTCTCAGCACCTTGAGCAGCATCAGCAAGAGCCTTATGCCCAGTGGGGGCCTTGTGACCGCAGCCAGGGCTGTGAGAGACAAATTGTTCCAGTCCCTGGTGTAAGAAGATAGACAAGCCTTATGTTTTCTTTCTGGAGCATGTCCAGAGAAGGGCAATGGAGCTGGGGAAGGGTTTGGAGCACAAGTCCTATGAGGAGCAGCTGAGGGAGCTGGGGGTGTTTAGCCTGGAAAAAAGGAGGCTCGAGGTGACCTTATGGCTCTCCAACAACTGCCTGACAGGTTGTGGCCAGGTGGGAGTCAGTCTCTTCTCCCAGGCAACCAGCGACAGGACGAGAGGACATAGTCTCAAGCTGTGCCAGGAGAGGTTTAGGTTGGACATTAGGAAGAATTTCTTCACAGAAAGGGTGATTAGACATTGGAACGGGCTGCCCAGGGAGGTGGTGGAGTCACGTCCCTGGAGGTGTTTAAGAAAAGACTGGAAGTGGCACTCAGCGTCACGGTCTAGTTCGGTCAAAGGTAGGACTCGATGATCTCGAAAGTCTTCTCCAACTTAATTGACTCTGGAATTCTTAAATATATGTATGCACAAAAGGGGGGATCTCTACCGGCGTGGGGTCACAAGGGTCCCTCCCCTTCCGAGCTGGGGCGGCCTGAGGCGCCGCCCAACAGGGGGCGCTGTGCCCGCCATGGCGGCCGCGCGGCGGAAGAGGCGGTGCGGCCCTGCCCCAAGATGGCGGCGCCCAGGCGCGGCGTGGCGGCGGGCGGCGCGAAGGGGATGAGGCGGCCGGGGGCTGCCCGCGCCCGCCGCGGCGGCAAGCTGGACCGGCTGCGGCAGGCGGTGCACGACTTCGTGCAGGCGGCCGGCGACCAGCCGCCGCTGGCCCTGCTGAGGGACTCAGAGAGGCAGAGCCGCAGGAGCCGTCGGGACGCCAGGAAGGAGAAGCGCAGGCTCAAGCGGAGCCGACGGCGACGGCTCCAACGCGGGGAGCTGGTGGAGGCTCCCACCGACCCGGACAAGCCTGCTCCTGCCAAGCCGTACTCTTCTAAACCCGCTCCGGCCAAGCCTGCTCCGGTCAAGCCTGCTCCGGCTAAACATGCTCCAGCCAAGCCGGTTCCTGCCGCTCGCCCCGCAGCCCCGACCTCGCCCGCCGCCGGGAAGCAGCGGCCGGGTCCGGTGTCGGCACCAACATCGACAGCCCTTTCGGCCCCCTCGGCCGCCGCCGCCGCCTCGGCGCGGAAACGGGCCCTGCTGGAGGCCAACGAGGAGGAGGAGAAGGAGATCCGTCGGCTGGAGCGGCAGCTGGGGCTCGGGAAGCGGCGCAGGAAGCAGGAGGGGCCCGCGGCCGAGCGGGTACCGCAGAGTTTCCTGCGGGACGGGCTGGGATACGTGCTGGGAGCCCTGGGCACCCGGGCTGGGCTCAGCAGGCTGTGCGAGAGCAGCGACGACGAGGAGGAGGAGGGAAAGGAGCAGGAAACCAAGCCAAGGCCGCGGGAGCGCCCGCCGGAGCCGGAGGACGACGACGAGGAGGAGGATGATGAGGAGGAAGTGAAGGATGATGATGAGGATCAGGAAGACGCCTCAGACCCCTCCGAGGGGGATGACGAGGAAGGACGGTGGGAGAGCGAGAGCTCGTCCTCATCCCCCGAGAACGACGAGGAGCCAGAGGCCAGCGAGCCCCTGGAGCAGGAGGAGGATGAAGAGGAGGATGAGGTAGGAGAGGTGGGATGTTCGCCTCTGATAACACAAACCTGCTGCTCAAAGGACATGCGGCGACCAGAACACAGAGCAGAGTTACATCGCCTCTGTAAAGCACAGGTGTTTGCTGTCCAGTCGGGCCACGTGAAGTGTTGTCCTGGTTCAAAACCGCACCTGGCCCAGCAGCAGTGTTGACTTGAGAGGTCTACCAAGACCTAGGGACAGCTGATAGACATGGAGAGCTGATAGACACCACCCCAAATCAGGATGGTGGCTGGTAATACCTAAGGCACGTGGGATCTGGAGCTACTCTGGCTTTAGAGTGTGAGAATATCCTTAAGCGCTTCTACTGTGGGCAAAGACAGCTTGTGTTAAAATTAGCATCTGTCACACACCGAAGTGTTACTTCTAAATGATCCCAGAGGTCCTGCCTGTGTTAGTTCTTGTAGCATGAGTGGAGGAGAGGAGGTCACACAGCCCTCATGGTGCTAACCTAAACTGTCACTGGTAAAACCTGGGTAAAACATAGGATGTCAGGTTTCAGTAACGTAAAGAAAATTTCATGTATAGGGAAGAGGGGCTTTCCTGCTGTCAAGTTGGTTGTAAAGGGCAACTTCTTGCCTACTTCTTTTCTGTATTTTGTTCCTTTGGCATTGGTTATTAGATAGTAAGATTTATCTTTAAGGTTGGTGTATTAATCTTAAATAGAAATGTATGTTGGTGTTCAAGTATTTAAGATCCTGGTTTCATCTGGTATCTTGTTTTCTTCTTTTCCTGGTAAGAGTCATAATCACAGTGCTACAAAGTATGTTCCCCCTCAAGTAAGGAGAGCTCAGGAGACACTAGATGACAAGAAAAGAGAAGAATTGGGAAGACTGAAGAAAATGGTGAATGGCCTCATTAATAGGTAATGTAATAAGGAAAGTTGTTAATCTTTCTGGTTCAGTGTGACAGTGCTCATCAGTCAAAGCCAAGTGACAAGGATGTGACTTTTCTCTCCACAAGCTGATTTTAAGTTGGCAATCATGTCTGCTATTGTTAAGAATAATTATCTGTGTTGATATAAATTCTTCAAAGTTAGTCATTATAGACATTGAAAAATCTAGAAAATAAATTTAAGATTGGGCAGAATTCCACACAGCAGTTGCCTGCAAGTAGTAGGTATAATTCACTAAGTGTCAGTTGGAATACGCTTACAAAAAACCCTCAGTGTGAGCTTTAACTCCTTCCCAAAAAAGCCTCTGTTTTGTTTTTTTTTTTAATTATTAAATTTCTCCAGCACTATGACTGAGAAGGAGCAACACTTCCTAAATTAAAGTACTTCAGAACAGAAAAAAATAATGAACAGTCATTGTAATTTTAGAATATTTTTTAAATAAGAAATGTAATGGCATTTTACCTGTTATCTGTAATATGCAGACTAGAGTTTGTTCAGTCATTCGAAATTTGATACACCTTGTATGTTACAGTAGGAATTATTTGCATAGTTCGTTTCTTCAAAGACTGTGATGTGCTACAGTTACAACTGCTAAGCACAGTCTGTTCTCTTAATAAATCTGTTCGGTGTGACAGTAAGCACATCAACAGTGCTTTATAAGTGCTGCTAATGTGTTTTTACATGTAAATATTTTTTAAAAAGCTACACCAGAATTAAATATATTACTTTTTTAGTTTAGTGAGCACAGAAAAATACAAAAGGCTCCTTCCAGTCATTTTTTCAATCTTAAGTCTTTTCTTAAGCCACTCTAATTTCTCTAAAAAAATTATTGTTTGCTGGGTAAACTCAAAATTGTGGAACTGTGTAAAGAGAAGAGAAAGTGAACAGTGGATTTTGTTTCTCCATAGGTTGAGTGAACCAAACTTGTCCTCCATTAGTGGACAGATGGAAGAGCTCTACATGGCCAACAGCAGAAAGGACATGAATGACACTCTGACAGATATTCTCATGAACGCCTGTGTCACTGCGGTTGCCATGCCCACGAGGTTGGTGATGGAGCATGTCCTTTTGGTTAGCATTCTTCATCACAATGTAGGAATTGAGGTAATTCTTGTGTCTGGGACTAATTTTGTTTAATAATACACAATGTAGAGTGTTTTCCTTGATGTTTTGTTTTGATTGCCATGTCATTTTTAAATGCGTGTCACTAAAAAGCATCTTTAGTTGAGTTTCATCAATAATTGTAACTTATTTGCAAGGTGTCCACAAGTGAAAGGGTCCAAGTCTGTTGCTTTATCTGGTTTTATTTCCTCCATGAGTTACCACTGGTCAGCTTTAAAACCACCATTTTTTCATCAAAATCTTTCTGCATCCAGGAACCAAAAATTTTTAAACTTCAAATTCTCCCCCCTTTAATTACACTAATCCATTTCTATTCTCTTGGGTATTTGAGGGTATTGATTTTGAATTATGTGTATCCAGATAAGAAAAGTGTTACAGTTACAGAAGCCCTTTCACACTGGTGGAAATAAGTTCTTTTCTAACCCAAATCATCAGTGGAATTAAGTAGGTATAATAATGCTCCGGAATATAAAAAACTTCAAAAAGCATGGTAGTTTTGGGGGGAATTTTCTTCTGTGTTTTTAAACCTGATGAATAATTGAGAAAAAATCTCTTTTGCTTACTGTTAGGGAAATGCTGAAGCTACTGATGTCAAAGATTTTAGCTAATTTCAATGAAATGTCTGTCAGGGAACTGAGGTGCTTTAGCACCATGTTCCCATCATATTACACTTTTTTTTTTCCTACATCTCAATGCAAAAGGTGTATGGATGCAAGTTCTTGGGTTTGTCATATAGGCCTGAATACTGGCTCTGAAACCATATTAAATATCAGATGGATGCAATTACAGCAGCTTTCTCCGTGCAGCCTTGATACTAAACTTTTATTTTGTCACCCTTCTGCTTGAATGGCAGTTCTGACTGGAAATATAATGTAATACTACAAAGCTGTATTAAGAACAGAATCAAAATCTTCTCAGAAGTTGAAACTTTGCAAAATACCTGGTGGTGAGGTTTAGATACAGATATACTAATAGGTGTCAGAAATTGGTAGATGATATCCAGACTGTGTTCTGTACCACTGGCTTGATTACACAGCACCTTTGAATCCAAGACTGAAGTATTTCAGTTTACTATAAAACCCTATTATTTTTTTCTGTAAAATAAATGTAGAATATGCATTACATGAAAGTGTGATAGTACAGCTGGATTGAAGATTAGGTTGAGCAATGCAGAAGTTGAGATTCCAGTAGCTGTGTTTATACATTTGTGCAGTCATTGGATAGTTAAAACCTGAGCTAGTCAAGACTTGTAATGCAAGTCAGTGCTGCTGCTGGGACTCCTGGTTTTCATAAGAACAGTCAGCAGATTTTAGCACCATCATAATGGGTAGAGTCTTGTTTAGCAGCAATGTTGTGGTATGCTTTCTAATATCAGTCTTGAGCATCAACCCTCTCTTCAGAAATACAGAGATTCCAAAATTTCTTTTCTAAACTGTATCATTGACAAATGGCTAAGAATTATCCTCACTTCAAAATCAGCCTAAGCTGTGAAAACTCGCTATTTTGGGGGTTGTTTCACAATATTATTTTTTATCCCCCTGTTAAGGATTTTGTTCTGGAATGCTGAACTCAGTGATGGGTTTGGCTTTTGATATACAGCTTTTACTGGATGAATGACTAGCAGTAGCAGCATGCTAGCCTGACAGCTGGAAAATTGCTTATATCTGTCCATGAAAATTATGTAAACAAATGCTGATGTATGTGTTTTTCTTGTGCAGGCTTTAAAAGACAACTGGATGTCATATATGAGGTGTAAATAACAAACTTTTTTGAAAACATCACACCACTTAGATGTTTGTGCATGCAAATTTAGAACATCCGTAATAGTTGAAAGGAGCAACAGTATTTCTTTAAAATTAACAGTGGCAGTGACCCAAAAATAAATGTTTTACAGATGTCTGTAAAATCTACTTACAGTTAACTGCTGGATGTTTTTTTTCTCCCTTTAATGGAATTGTTGCCAGGTCGGTGCTCACTTTTTGGAAGCTGTGGTGAAGAAATTTGATGAACTCTGTAAAAGTGATGCTGAAGGGAAAGAATGTGAAAATCTGCTTGCCTTGATTGCTCATCTCTATAACTTCCATGTGGTTCACTGCCTGCTGATCTTTGATATTCTGAAAAAGCTTGTTAGCACTTTCACTGAAAAAGAGATTGAGCTGATTTTGTTTCTTCTGAAAAACGTGGGCTTTTCCTTAAGAAAAGATGATGCTTTGGCTTTGAAGGAACTGATTACCGAAGCCCAGAGGAAAGCAAGCACAGCAGAGAAGAAATTCCAGGATCAGACGAGGGTATGTGTGTGTTTTTAAGGATTTTATCATCTCAATAGAGTTTAATAAGTACCTGGATACATTACTTAATTTAGAAAAATATTTTCTGCTATGTTCTACTTATGTTCTAAATTACCATTAGTGTTTGGTTGTTGCATTCATTTATTTGCATTCTTCTTTTCTGTCTTGCTCTGTTAGTACTTAGGACACAGACACCAAAATGCTTGTGATGGTGACACAGGACTGTTTTATGTCTTATGCAATGGACAGGGCTTCTGTTTGATGATGCTTTGTACACTTCAAAAAATGGTCACTGAGACGTGGTGTTTGACAGATTAAGCTTTGAGTTGGAGCTTGTACACAAATTAATATAATAGGGGTAAAGTAAACATCCATTTGTAGTCATGTAATCTAAAACCTTTGTTTCCAGCTGAGCTGCTTATTCTCACAGAGTTGTAGTTTCAAAGTACACTCTCTACTGTATTTAATAAACCCACAGCACATAAGCCACAGAAACATTTCTTTTCCCAATAGGTTCGTTTTATGCTGGAGACTATGTTGGCACTAAGGAATAATGACATGAGGAAGATCCCTGGTTATGATCCTGAGCCAGTCGAAAGACTCCGCAAGTTGCAAAGAACACTGGTGAGAACTTTCTTGGCATGTGTAGCCCAGTTATCCTTAAACCAGGAGTAATTATCTGTATTGTATGTTGGCTTGATGGACTGTAGTATTTTAATTCATTTAACAGTCTGAAACTGGTGGACAGAAATCACTTCTTATATCATTAACTTTTATCTCCTTGTCCAGCCTTCAGCAGAACAGTTTGAGAAAGGACATAAATACTTAGCCAAAGACTTTGCCTCAAAGTCCTATAAAAGGTATATGAAAAAGATTGTTAGATGTTTAATGATTGTGTAGAAGAAACGAGTCAATATGACCAGTTCTGGTTTTGGATGCGCACACCTGCTCCCTGCTTCACCAGAATTATTTTGGAAGTCTAACACTTCAGAAAAGCTGGATGTTCCTTCTTCTTGTTTGTTTGTTGTTTTTTTTTTTTGTGACAGAGGGCAGTTTGTCTAGAACAACCCAGTATAAAAGGGATGAAAGTAATTTATAAGTGCTGGATGTGCATATTAGTATAATAGGCCAGACAAAAACAAGCTAGGTAACCTAGTTTGTAGAATTTCCTCTCTTAAATTTTCACGGTCTTCCTGATACACTTCTAGACTCTTTTGTTGAAAATTCTTATTTTGTTCAGAGTTTAACATTTTTGTTATTTGAACTGTGCAGCACTTAAGGCAGTTTCTAGTGTCGTTTTATTTAATCCCAAGTGTTCAAAAGGAAAATTGTGACCAGATTGTAAGATGCTGCAAATCATCGGTATCAGCATTGTTGGAATTCCAGTCAAATTTTGTGATTGGAAGATGGCTACTTTTTCATTTATTATCTCCTTTTTAAAATTAAAAAAATATCAAGAGCTTCTACATGTAGATTTAGCCAACTTTTTGAATTTCAAAAATTACAGCATATGGGGAGCCTGTAAATCCTTTTCAGGCTGCTGACTGAAACAAAGGTTGGGCAGGAAACGTGGGAAGACCTTTATGGAGATTAACTTACCTGTTTAAAGTATTTGTTTAAAAGTAATTTTAAGTAATTAAAATATTTGTTGTTTTCTTTTTAAAAAAAAAAATGTTTCAAATAAAAGCTTTTGTGTTGGTTTTTGTTTGTGTTTTGTCACTCAAGGTTCGCAGCGGTGGTTCGGGAAGAGACACTCAGCTCCGCGTCTCCCTGGAATCTCTGCTCAGTGCCGATCAGGTTGGTCGGTGGTGGATCGTGGGGTCATCCTGGAGTGGAGCACCAATGATCAGTGATACAAACAGCAAGGTTCAGCAAAAACTGCATTTAGGAAAGGTAAATCCAGGCAGTGCTAGTTACAAGTCTTAAGTGTTTGTGATCTTTTGAAGGTTCTTCTTACAGGTGAATAAGTTCATTTCAGAGCCCACCAAAAAAACTTTCACGGACACTTGTAAGACTGTAAATTCTGCTGTTATGTTTTTTTAAAATGTACTGATGCACTTCACAAAAGCTGTTACTACAAATATTTTGGTATAGCTTGCTGTTTCTTATCCTGTGGAATTGCAAAAGTGAAAGAAGAGACTTGATTTAGAAGTGGATTTGCTAGTAGTGTTGTCTATCTGTGGCATATATCCAAGCTGATTCTAAAAGTAATGTGGTGAGATGGTCATGGTGACTTACATCAGAGAAGCACGTCTTAAAAAATGATTGGCACAATTAAAATGGATTAAAATGTATTTCCATATTTGAAAAAGCTCCTGATGATGCCCGTGCCTCTGGACAAAAGCTCAGGACCTTTGGATTGCTGATTCACAGTTTACTGGAGAGCTTCATTAGTGGTATTATTCAAGGCTGCACAGAAGTAGCTTTCTTAAATCAAGCATAATTCATAACTATAATAGCATATAACCTTATTTTCAGGTGAGTTCAAAGATAATGGAGCTTGCTCGGAAGCAGAGAATGAACACTGATATCAGGAGAAGTATTTTTTGTGTCTTGATGACAAGTGAAGACTTCATGGATGCCTTTGAAAAGCTGCTCAAGTAAGTACAGACTAGAACAGAAGACAACCCAGAACTAAAAATAGCACTGAATGGGTTGGAAAAATAGCATTAAGAGCATTTAATTGATAATACAATTAAAAGAAGTGAATAGCTGGGGATCCACGTAGGGTGAAAAGGTAGGAGAAGGGACCAAAACCCTGTTATAAGGGCTAATGGGGGCACGCAGAACTGACTGGCAGTCAGAGGAAAGGTGTAGCCCCTGTTCTTGTCACTCACGGCTATAACTGTGATTTATGGCATCTTTTGGCATAAGGAGCCTGTATCTTTTTGCATTGGAGCTGTGTCCCAGTCCAGTGGATGGAAGGCTGTTGCAGGCTTGTTCCCTTACAGAGACAGACCAAAAGACCCTGCAGAACATCTCTTGGTTTTGTAGCTGGATTTCCATGGTTTCTGTACTTCTGCCACTTCCTTGACTTCTTGCCACCTTGTTAAGCCATCTTGTAGGTCTCTGCCCATACTTGCATGACCTGGTAGTGTTCTAGCACCTCCACTTCCCTCTTGCAGAATTTATTAGCTTTGGCTTTGCTCCAGGGTCACATTTTACATTAAGACCAGTTTCCTTACCACTTGGCAAACAGCTCTTTAGAACAAGATGTGATCAGGGAAAACCTCAAACTAACCTATTCTTTGTGTTTGTCAGAATATTAATTGTAAGAATATTAAGTAAGTGGGAAGGGAGAGATCAGGTCTGAACTTTTCTGTCACAGCCTTGTAATTCAAAGGAATTGTTTTGCCAGGGTGGCATGCAATTATTTAATTTGCTTACCAAACCAAAACAGACTTTGTAATAAAGTCAACTAATATTTGATTAAATGCCACTTCTGCAAAACACAGCTTGAATTTAAGACTGTGATGGAGTCATTCCAATATCTTAATACGGCCTGTTCAATTAAAAGAAATTAGCTGCTGCTGCTGCAGCTCTTGCCAAGACCTGGTAGCTCAATTTGCAAATTGGGTTTGACTCTCATCTGTACTATTTAAACTAGTACACAAATCTGAATACATACAGGCTTGGCAGAAAAAAAACTCTGCAAATTGCCTGGTGTGTGTTGGTAAGGATTTTGTGCAGCAAACTCAGAGAGGGGAATTCCCTAATCTGCCCACATCTGGCAGAGTATAGTGAAAAGTACACAGAACTGTCAGTGAAGGAATTAATTTCAATGTGAACATGTGTTTCAGAGTGTATGGGAATTTATATTCATATGTTTGTCAGTCTCATGAGGAAGAGCATATAAAGAAGTATTTTAACTGTTCTTGTTGATTGACCTTCTGCTAGGTCTGCTGGCAGAGTTGAGGTGAGGCTAAAGGATAATTTAAACTATTTAAAATCCGGGCTGCTGTAGTTTTGCTAGTTCTTCTCCTCCTTACTGCAAATGAAAGCAATTAGTTTGAAGCCAGAACAGTTCCCTGAAGTGGCTCAGCTTGTGATTGCAGAGGAGTCAATGTAAAGGGAGGGTTGGGAAATCACTGGAGACAAAGAAGAGAGCCAGCGACTTGATCTTCTTCATGAGATTGAAAGGCCACACCTCCTTCACACCCACAGTTTCACTCAGGAGAGGAAGTGAATGCTGCTTCAGTTTGATGGAAAGGCAGTTTTAAAAGTTGTTTGGTAGAGATAAGGAATGTGAGAAACTTTGCATCACAGAAGATATTAACACTTTTTAAGAGGCTCACTTATCCTGTTGTAGTGGGCTGTGTAATTCAGGATAGCGAGTATCTACGAAAGTGATTGTATCTACTGAAATAATTTGAGCTGACTTTTAAAAGGTGGGTTTGAGAGTGTCTAATTTTGATCTGAAGGCAGTGATAGTCTTGGACTTCAGCTGGTGACAACTAACCCACTTAGAGGCAGGCTTCTGCTGGCAGTAAATAACCTACATCAGAGGCAGTTATCCCATTTAATGGTGGGAAATTCTTAAAGCAATCAACACATACGAGTCCGTGGGAATACTGTAACTCATGAATGATTTAACTGGTGAGGTGGTTGCACATTCTTTATCAGATATTATTGGGTTTATGAAATTTGTACAGGTTTATGGTGAAGCTCAGCAGTGAAAGACAGTCCAGACTCTTCAAATTTAAATACTTAGGAATGCTAGGTCTGAAAAGATACAATACTGCTAGTTCTATGAAAACGTGAAGGTAAGAACAAAACTGAATATCCAAGTGTTGTTACTTGGTTACAACTGTCTGGCAACATGAGTATTTCCTAAATAAGCAAGTTATGATAGAAGTGATGATAAAGAAGGAAAAAGAGAGTGTACCAAATTAGTAATTACAGTGTAACTTCACGAGTCATCTATTAAAAGCATGTCCAGTGGCTGAAAACCTGTATATTTGTAAAAAGCCCTTTTAGTTGCTCTGTACTAAAATCAGACAGAACTTGGCTGATGAGGGAGCAGGTGAGTTATATCACAGACACAGCACTCACAGTGATGGTCTCTTTTGGAGAAGCAGACTTCTAAGTTTTCACTGCTCATTAGCAATCAGCCTAGAAATCATCACAGATTTTCCTATTGTAAAACCTTAAATTCTGTGGAGTTTTGGCTTAACCAGCAGTATTTTTCTCTGTTAATCTGGTGTGTCTGTGATCAAATGCAATGCAGATGTCTGGGGGTGTATACAAACGAGAGGTAGTAGAATCAAGCAATGACAAACTACTCTGCAGGCAAGTTCCAGTGGAGTCAAACCTGGTTAGAAAGTATGCTTGAGTTGTACTAATGCCATGTGAAACTTGAGCTTGAAGCAATGAGAAGAATTTTGTTTGAAATTTTTCAGATTATAATACAAAGCATTTTTCATTTTAATTGGTTTTAATGCTGCCAAGCATTTGGCAGCCCTAGAAGTTAAATCATGTTATTCACAGACCAGGTGCATTGCCAGTTAGTTACCATTCCCTGCCAAAGTGTCTCAGCCCTCCTTTAGACTGGAAGGCTGTTCAGTGCTTGGCCTTCATACAGAGGCAGCCAGCATAAGTAGTCATAGATACTGTTTTCTTCAGGCTTTTTTCTAAGGTGCTTTGAAATCACTGACTGCATCCTCTTAGGCTGCTATCAAACAAAAATGGATTTCAAGTATGATGGAGTGGACATACAGATTAAAAAAATTCATATCACCAACGAAGTAGGAAAAACACCTTAGAATATTTTCTTATCCCTACTAAGTACCACGGAAGTGAAGCACCCTGGACGTGTTTCTCCAGATAGGCTTACAGTGAATCCAAAGGCTGTTTTTCCTCCCATGGCCATAGGTACAAGTGTGAGATAACAGCAACAGGGCCCTACAGTTCTTGTTCCACTGTTTAACCTTTGTAGTGGTATCTGTGCAGCAGCATTTGCTGCAGTCCTACTGCTGTGCTCAAAGGTACAATCATAGTAACTGTGCCCTCTCCTCTATTTTAGTTTGTGGAGAGCTACAAACATGGAGGGGGCTACCTTTCCTTTCAACAGGGAGTGATTACACTTGCATCATTCCACTTCTGTCTGTTGAGGTCTTGCTCTTGCAGCCACTCCTTTAACACCCATAATATTGTAGCATTTCCACATTGCCATACCAGGATATTGGTTTAGCTCACAGTCCTAAATTTTTGAGTCCATTCAGTACTTTAAAGGCTTCATAAGAACTTTATAACAAGTAAAATTTAATGTGATGTTTGGAGGGTTTTTTAAAGTATTACTCTCAGATGTCGACTGTAGCTCTTACTTGCATCAGTAATTTTTTCCTTACTAAATGATTCTCATCCTCTTGCTAAATTTTAGGCTTGGACTGAAAGATCAGCAGGAGAGAGAAATAGTTCATGTTGTCCTGTACTGCTGCTTACAGGAGAAGACATTTAACCCCTTCTATGCATTTTTGGCTAACAAGTTTTGTGGATATGAAAGACGATTTCAGGTAAAGAAAAACCTGTTCCTTCTTTGGTTTAGTGTCATGACTGTGGTTAGGAAAACAATTATTAAATACCTGAGGATGGATGCATGCCTGTTAGGATCTTGATCCCAGGGAAAAATTCTGCTGGTATAGCTGTGCATTCAGGAAGGCATACTTGTGGTCAGATATGAGTAGGAAATAAAATGACTACTGGAGAAGGTTTGCTTTCTTCTGTTTCATGCATTTTAAAAGAATTGGAACAGTCTGATCAAGCATTTCTGTTAATTAACAGAGGGCTCGTAAAGAATAGAAGGTCAATAGGTTTGTTATGTTGTTACTCATTTAAACAGCTGCTTGATTTGTAGGATTACTTTTTTTACCTTTGACCCCTAGGTGACATTTCAGTTCAGTATTTGGGACAAAATCAGAGACTTAGAAAACCTGTCAGCTGCTGCCATCTCCAACTTGGTTTCACTGTTGGCTCACTTAATAAGGACAAAGTCACTGCCACTTTCAGTTCTCAAGGTTGGTGTGTCTCTTTCCAAATCTTTCTTTGTTTTCCTTTCTTTTTCTAGTTCTGTGGAAGGTGTGTTTTCTCTCTTACCTAGATGGTACTTTAGCTGATTATGCTAAGACAAAATTTGTTCTAAGCTTAGCAAATTATTCCATTTGATTACAGTAGTGCTGTCATTTGGGGAAAGGAGAACCTGTGGTGACCCGGGCATACAGCAAATCTACAGTTTTAAGATTATTTTCTTTAGAGTATCCAGAGTTGGAACTGAGACTCCTTCATTAACAGGCTTTAGCAGTGGATTTTGTGCTATGATTTTTAGCTGATGTTGATTTTTATTAGACAAGAAAGGAAATCTACTGAGCATCTGGATTTCAGAATGGGAAGTCCATAGAATCTTATTATAAGAATAGTTGAAATTAAACAGGCAATTAAATGGATTGTCCTAGGTACTTATGAAGTATTTACCTAGTTGATAGATTACATCTGGTGTTCTGGTACTAGTAGACTTCTATTCCTTAGAAGATTCTCTGCTTTCCTTATTGATTGGCTTTTGGAGGCAGCATTCTCAGCTAATTCTTCTGTGCCAAAGTCAAGACTCAGTATATGCAGAGGCCAGTTGGTGTGCTAAGAGCTGTTCATTTGCTGTTCATTTAGAAGAGAAGACAGCTGTTTGAAATACTTGAATTAATCTAATTCTCTCCCTCTGCCTACCAGGTAATTGAATTTAGTGAACTAGACAAACCCAAAGTCCGTTTCTTGCGACAAGTATTAAGCACACTGTTAATCAAAGCAGATGCTGAAGAACTGACTGACATTTTTATGAGGTAAGTGATCAGAGAGATCTCCAGGGAACCCTTGTTGGGGAGTAATTAGGAAGATAAGAAGTTTGCTTATTTTGTTTGGAATTACACGATGCCTTTTCCACACATCAGCCATCCCTTAAAAGTCAGCTCTCCTGGATGACTGCAGGAAGTGTATCACTTGTGTGTTGGCACAGGCTCTGACAGAGATGCAGCATAACGAGTGTTACACAAACTAAAGCTTTCAAATATTCAATGTATCATGTTGGTGAAAGGATTTTCATGAGCAGAGCTCTGTAATTACCTGTTTCCCTTATTGCTGTTCTACCATCTGTGTGCAATGGGATTCACTCTGCCAGCAGTCATTGCTAGGAGCTATGTTAAGAAGGAAAAATAAAGTAGTACTAATGAGGGAGAGGTTTGGGGGATTTCTTTATGGGGTTTTCATCAACACTGTCTGAAAAATCTTATTTTTGATATGAGACTGGGTGGCCTGAAGAGGCTGGGAAATCTCCATCCTTGAAGATGCTGAGGACTTGAGTGGATAAGACTTGCAATGTCACATGAAGCGAGAAGAAATTAGGTGGTGATCTTTTAACACAAGGAAGTTTGAACACAGTGTTTGCCTCATTTTTTGCTGTAATGTAATTGTTTACATAAAGCAAGTCTGAGGCTGCAGTATTCTATTTTATTGTTGAGGGCCAGTTGTATGTTGAGTGTTTGGGCTGTTTGTCAAACCAGACTTGGTAATTTGAAAGCCTCTTCAATAAAGCTCCTTTTATAGGTTGGGGTTTTTCTATGTCTCTATTTGAAGAAGATGAAGAAAATTAAGAAACTTCTGAAATGGCAGAAGAGTAAATAATATTTTTTATCCGTATCTTTACAGGGTATCAGACAACCCCAAACTGGGAATGCTACGGGAAGGCTTGAAACTCTTCCTTACCCACTTCTTACTGAAACATGCACAGGCCCAAAAGAGTGCTGAAGAAGCTAGCTTGTTAAAAGAAAGAGTTGAAGTAGCAACCAAGGCTTTGGAGGCAAAAGAACCCAAACTGAAGTTATAGTTCTGTTTTTCTGATAAAACATACAGAAAAATATTTCAGACCCAAATAATTGAGAATGAGGAGGGCCATTTTACTCTAAAGGATTAATTTTTTAATGTAAATATAGTTACTTTGCTCTACACACTAGTGAGAGGTTTAATTGAAGGGGATACGAGGCCTTTTTGGAGAAAGGGAAAATATATTTTTGTCATGTCCCTTTTTGATACAAGTGCTTCGTGTTGATAGTTGGTATCTGGAGAAGAGGCTGAATTTCTCTTCCATGATACTCTCAGTCAGCAGCAGTGTTCTGCATTGCACATTCTAACCTTTTGAAATTGTAAAATAATGGCACCATAAATAATAAAGAAGCAGCCTTAACTAAAGGCACTTGCCTAAAGAAAGGGGCCACTAGATGGCACAAGTACTGGTGAGTCGGTTTGGGAAGAAATCAACTTTTTTTCCTTAAGTGTTGGAAGTTATTTGCTAATTCTGTGAATTGTTTCCCTGACTGTTGGTCAGGAAAAAGATCTTCAGCTGGATTCAAAGCTCTCGTAAAGTGACTTGAAGATCTGACTTTGCCCAATTATATTGGGTTTAGACATCACAGCATAATTTTATTGCATTTTTTTAGCCTGTTTTCCACAGCTTTAGAATTGGATTTGCCTAGTCACTTGTGTAAAAAAGATAAAGAATATCATCAATATGAATATTTAATAAGAGAACACCTTCTTTAAGAATTTGCTCACATCTTCCAATCAGATGTTTAAAATAAATGGTGTACATTTCTGTATAACACACTGTTAATGGTTTGTTTCTTTTGTCACCTTACCACTACACGTTAAACTGCCGTTTTTATAAATGCTTTGCTTTTTGTATTAGTTTTATTCTAGCTGGCCTGGCAGGAAAGGAATGACCTTAAATTGGGTGGAGAGGGGAAAGTACTTTCTTGTCTGCAATGTGTATCTACATGATCTACTTATGTTGGAGCTGTTGGCCCTATTTCTGTAGCCAGGCTGGCCTCTGGTGTTCAGTAGGCCACCTATGGTGCCTCCTAATTGCATTTGATAGCAATTGATCTGTTCCTGTTGGGAAAAATTATTTTTTAATCCAATTGTTGGATGTAGAATCCTTTGCTTGCTCAGGTGTGTGAGTAATGTTTTCAGGCGGAGTAGTGCTTCCCCCAGGAGCCAGGGAGCTGTTTTTCCTCACCTTTCCTCTGTAGGGAGCAAGGTGTTCTGGGAGCAGAAAGATCCACTTTCAAAACCCCAGGTTACACTAGCAAGGTAACAACTAACACAGAAGAGAATTACTATCAAAAGAACAAAGCAAGATGCTTTTTTTCCTCATGTTTCATATCATTGGCAGCTTTTAAGAGTACAAAACTGCCCATTTCCCCACAGTTGCATCATAGATGCAAAAAGACAGAAGAATAAAAAAATTAAGTTACAATATTTCTGGAATTCATGCCAATTAACAGAAACATGGGCAGCAGCAGAATCGACACTATTTTGATGGCTACAAAAGTCACAACTTCAGGCAGTGTGAGCTGCCTTACAACCAACCACACCAAACCTTGTATTTAAGTTTTGGAGTGTGGACTCAGGAGAAAATCTGTGCCAGCCCCTAGAAGCTGGCTGCTGTGGAACGCATGGGACTCAGTGAGTAAAAATTGCTCCCCCTAGACTGCAGCAGCCACCTAATTAATTACCTTTTCTGTAGGAGTTTAGGTAGACCCAGCGTGTGAACATGTTTGTGGTTTAATAACACCTAAATGGAAACACATTGCTCTAGCAGGGAGGTTGAGGTGACTTTGCTCCTTGAGATAAATCTCAAACCATCTTCCTTAGATCAAGGGTGACAGGCTGCCTGTCCCTGGTGTGACCACTGTGCTCAGTGATCAGAGCTGACCACGCTTTGCTGCAGTGGCAGGATTGCCAGGAGTTTTATGGGTCTGAGTCTATTCACTTGCTGCAGCTGCCTGAGGCAGTGGATGCAGGTGTTGCTGTGCAATTAGAGGGGATGGTTTTAACCTTACAGTCGAACATTGCAATTGCTTTTTTTTTTTTTTTACAGTGACACTTGAATTAGTTATTATTTATCCCAAAGGCTGGTATGTTTTGTTCAAACTTAATGTTATCAGAGCCATTCCTTTGTTTCTGAGGAAAACAGTTTTTACCTGCCTGCGGCTTTTATATTTGCCATATTTATGTAAAAACATAGGGTTTTTTTAAAAAATGACTTTTCAAGGAGAGCAGATGAAATACACTGCCAGCCATAGTCATGGTGCAGGAACAGTTTTTATGGGTGATTCTGCATAAGTCCTGCCCTCCTGCTGTGCTTTGGTGAGGGAATAACTGTCCAACAAAAATTTGACAATTCCAAGATAAATGTGAATTCCTAAGTCCTGGATCTTGCCATATTTAACAATTTTTTCCATGGTCCTACTGGCCAAACTGCCACAGCTTTCCAAAGGTGGAAGGCCTGGCAGAGTCTGCTGTTGATGTACATATGTGTCTGCAAGCTGTCGCTTCTGTCATCAATGCATCCTAGGGACATAAAGGATATAAAGCACGTGTGAAAAGGAAAGCTGAGATTATTTTATATTCACAAATATTTTATGGGTATTGTACATGTATACGTGTGTGCCTAAATGTATTTTTTATATATATAAAATATATAGATTTTTATATATATATATATTTTTAACCCTGGAGAAAAAACTTGTCCCAGCGGAGCTGGCCCGGCTGGAGTGTCTCCTCCTTACAGCAGGGCTGTCAGTGCTATAACGTCTCTCTGGAACAGCAGCAAGACTGAAAATGCTGGCAGGCAGCTTCCTGCAGGACTGCACACTCAGCACTGCCTGCCAGCAGAGGCTGCTGGGGAAGTTACACCCAGCTGGGACACATTTTGCTTTGTCTGCCACGGAATAAGTGCTCAATAACACACATACCCAAAACTGAGATTTATTCCTGTTGAGTATTGGTGTGTCAGCCAACACCAAACCTCTGTGAGAAACGTTCCCTGACGGTTCCAGGGACAGAGATGCCACTTAAAATGTCCAAAATTCTTCCATACAGGAGGTTTAGGGGAGTTGCTACTTAACGAGAGGAAAACAGCTTTGGGCTGGTAAAAATACACTGTGCTGGAAAACCAAAGCTACGGTTGCAGCAGTAATCCTTACTCCTGACAAGCCAGTGGAAAACACGGCGTCATTTTCTTTAGATGCATTTAACTAAAAGCTGGATGTTTGATTTTTGAACTATGTAGCAGCACATTTGAATTCCCCCTTGAAACAGCACGATCCACTCATTACAGCAGTTTGGATTTTTGTTTTCTTTTAAGCTGGACAGCGATGTTTTAAACTTTCTCTGCTTTCTGTATCAAAACTAACGGGGCAGCGAAGTCTGGTTTTTAGCTTTGGCCGGAGTGTTACGCTGATAAATCATAGGCAAGTCCTTCTGGCAGGGTTTTAACACTGCACCTGAATGGGCCAAGTATTTGCAGGGCTTTTCCAACTTGACGTTTTTCCATTGTCCTGCGCCCCGGGGATGACGGGTTGATGTCAGTCGTGCTCGGGAGGCGCAGACGCGGCGGGTCTGCCCTGCCTGGCGCTGGGGAAGGTGTGCAACCCAATACTGTGCTCAGAGCACATCTGGGATCGTTTGATTCCCATTGTTCTGCGGGTGAACCCTGGACGTGAGAAGTTACAGCCCGCGAGCAGCGCGGTGCCAATTGTGCGCGACAGTGATTTCAGCTTAATAAATATGCAAGTGGTAACTCCAATACTCAAATTTTTGTTGCACTGAGTGTAATTGCAGCTTAGTGCCTGGCTATGTGTGTGTGAGAGTCAGTATGTGATTTTTTTTTTTCCTGCAGTAGGTGAAGCAATTTTGTTTTCAGGAGACAATTTGATCCATAGGGTCGATTTTAAAAGGCTGAGTGCATGTTTTAATGAAGACTTTTGGGGTTGGACTGATTTCAGGAATTGTAGGTAGAGATATGACTCTTTTACCATATGCCACTTTTGGTGATTTCATCTCCTGGAGGAACTTTCCTTCACCCTCCAGTAAAGCTTAGTTTACCAGGAGGCCTGCAGGGATGGACATCACAGCTGCCCATATAAAACAGCTGTGCTATCCCCAAATTCTGGTATGACCTGCAGCCTTGCTTTAAAACTAATTACAGTAAGCCTTTGGCTAATTTAGATTCATGCACAATTCCAAATCGGATACCACGTGGTTTCCCTAATAACACTGTAAGGAAATGAATGAGCATTTATCAAGGATAAGCTTGGGGAGAGCCAGCTGGCACCAAAAATTCCTTAAAACTTGTGTCCTAGGACAAAGAAATTCACACACCAAAACCAGCCCCACCTCATGTGAATGGAGTGGAATTCACTTCAAAGTGATTTGGAAATGCCTAACCAATGCTACTAGAATGAGAGGTACTGAGTAAAATTAAATAGAGACCGTTTTTTAATAGTTCCTTCAAAGTCTTTTGTCAGTTACAGTGAGATGGTTGTTTCATTTTCATAAGTGAGAGATTTCCAACTGTGACACATTTTCCATTAGAATCTCCATTATGGACCTTTTACCATTCAGACAGTAAGAGTACCCTCAAATCTCTCTTGGGTGCACAGGCCAACACAGCTCTGGTGTGAAATAGCAGGGAATATTGTTGGAGGCAGTGAAGCCACTGGGGAGCAGCTGTTGGTTACAGCCAGGGGATGGAACAATATGTTTTTCTAGTATAGAGACAATAAGTTATGTTTGGTGTCACCTTGGGGAAAAATAAGTCACCTCGATTGCATCTCCTTGGCCTGCACCTTATCCACAAAAGCATCTTTCCTCCTCAGCCAAAGCCTAAGACTCTGAATGGAATTTCTTTTTCCTTATTCTGTAGTTCAATTCACCCTTAAAATATTGGCTAGATGGTGTTTACTTTCCAAATTTCCCTACCTAAGTGGTTTAAACCTAAGTCTGTAGGTCTCTTGAAGACTTTTATTACACCAGGGATTATGCAGGTACTGTGTGGTAGGGATGAGGAAGCACTGCAGAAAGATAGGGATGGTATTTGAGAGTCATAAATGGTTCCTGTGATGATAAAAGCTGTTGAGGGAGGGTCCAGGGAACTCTTCACCAGCGCTTCAGAGCTTGAGCAGCAGGCATTAAGTCATCTTAAAAGCTGCTGTGGGTTTTGAATCAGTTCAGGTTTCCCACCTTTGGTCTGAAATCAATGTGAGAATCAGATCCGGAGAGACACTGGACCCATCCATGCTTCTGGGCTGCCCTGTTCCTGTGAAACCTCACACCAGGTTTGTGAGTTTAGGGAGCCTTCACACTGCTAAGGACTGGGGAAGCAGATCTTTATTCCTGGCCAAGTTTTTGACACTCTCACAGAAGCTGAGTAACAGTTTCCCTGAAATGAGCTCCTCCAGGGAAGAGCCAGGGCTACACAGGGCTGACGTGGAGTTGTCAGAGGCACAGGATCAACAGGTTTTGCAGAAGAGCACATTTAAGCCTTTTCAACATTAGCCCATTTTCCTCTGATATTAAAATTGACCCTTAAATCAAACCTATATATGTATTTATCATTCCTGAAGATGAAGATTTGGAGGAATAAAGGAGTGGGGGCTTCAGGTATCTTGCCATCCTTAGCTGACGAAAGGGATTTCTTCCTCCCATCCCCAAAGCAAAGGGCACCCATGAGGTTCTGAGTTACTACAGGAGTGGTGTCCCCTCAGGGCAGCTTCAAAGACAACACAACAGATCTTCTTCATGGTGCAAGCTGCCAGG